TCTTTGCTCGCATTCTTCTGTATAATTTATTCGCTGTTTGGAACTATGGAAGGGACAGGTAATAAAAAAAATTAATTCATTACCTCATCCGTGAAAATCCTCCTTCATAAGGTCATCAAACTTCGCCTTGGTTATTGTTTTGAAAATACGACCTCTAGTGGCGAAAAATTACATATTGTACCTTTAATATATATATTTTTTAATTTAGTTCTTAAACTTTTCATTAGGTATCTTAATTTTTAAGGCTTCGGTGGCTCAAGTAAATTGTCAAATTGAAAATGTAGCAATCAAAAACCATTGTAGGCTATTTAAAGAATATTGTATGAAGAATAAATTATATTAAAAATAGAAATATATCTTGTTTTCTTCTATCAAAACAATTTCATAGATTGTCGGGAGTGCCATAAAAATGAGTTTGCATGCCTGTACCTCTAGAAGTTATTAAAGATATCTTAATTTCCCTTTAGATTCTGGTTCTTACTTCTTATATGCTTCAACCCCAGAGATATGGGGATCTCAATGTGACATGTCCAAATAAATTAATTTTATGCATTTTCAGTGGTTAAAAAACCAAATGTGGATTGGATACAGCCGATACTTACTGTATCTCAAGAAGAATGTCTGAAGAATTTATAATCTAGAAAGCAGAAATAAATCGTTTCCCTTTAGCAAATCAACTGCATTGAACATACTTAGAACATTAAAAGTTACTCTTCCGAAGTTTGCATACCTGTAACATACGTGACATTTAATATTTTGACTTTCATCACTATTTATGTTTGATATTCTTCCGAAAACAATATGAACAAAATCAAAAATCTGAACTGGGGAAGTTTCTGAAATTTGATTTGACAAGGAATTACCCAGCTTTAAGTAGGCTATTTTTAATCTGTAAAATTAAAAATATAGGCTAACATCTGATATAATCTGACATTAACCTATATACAAAAATGAGTCATTATGTTTGTCAAATGTTTAGAACGTGATTTGTTTTATACAAAATATTCTATTTTAAAATAAAGTCATATGGGTGCAGCAGACAAAAACATTTGAAAACCCTTCATTAAACATGAACTTTCTCTTGCACACATCAGTCTACCACTTGCTGTTTTTGTTTTATAATTCACAGTAGGCCTACGCAGATTCTCCAAGCAACTGGGAACTACACACAGTAAATGGTGCGGTGGATCGTTCCTGAATGAATCAATGCTTTTTAGAACGAATCAGTTGAGTAAATGATTCATCGACAACGAGTCACCAAAAAAAAGGAAAAAAAGTTTTTGGCGTAAAAATAAACCCGCAGAAAGAACCACTAAATGTCCCCACCATTTATGCATAACACTGTGTCTTAAACAGAAGCGTTGTATTCCAGCCTCAAATCATTCACAAATTACTACCAATCAGAAAATCTTGCTGACAGACCCTCTCTGCAATCAGCAACGAAAGGTAAGGTGAGTAGGCTAAATTACATCAGATTAATAAGAAACAAACCATTTAAACATTATTCAAAATACATAGTTAACGGACATAGCTGTTGACATGGAATACACGTGTTTACATATAGCCTAAGGAAAACAAGAACACTCAAACTGTGAACACTATTTTTAGGCTCTGAGGTAAATGATCCACTGTCAATTCATAGCGGCTACAAAAAGTGATGTCCACTGATATACGAACAATAATTAAACATTTTATTATTGCCTCCTAGCTGGTTATAGAACAAAAACTCTGTAAAACATAGAAAACTTACCTTTTATCGCGTAAAGCGCCGAATCTGTCTGGAAACCAAAAGGGTCTGGCTGCAGCTGGCGCTTGCACTCTCAGACACTTGCACTTCCGCTAGCGACGTCACTTGCAGTCTTTATTATTTTTTTATTTTGTTCTATTTATTGATTACTTTTTGTTTGAATCTCTCAACATTTTACAACAGTAGCCAGGTGGTGAAGACAAGACAAAAGAAACTAAATTACGAAGTCACTTGCAATCGCCACTTGCACTCTCCGCTACCTGTGACGTCACTTGCAATCGACACAAATCGTGTGTGTTGCCAATGGAGACAAGACGCTGTGGTGGTGATTAAACGATTATTTATTTCTGAGAGTGCAAGCGCCAGCTGCAGCCAGACCCTTCTCCTGGAAACCGCCAACACAAACAAGTGGGGTGATACAAACAAAGTGAAAAGTCGCGAAACGCACTTGCTCGGCCAATCAGATTCGAGGACTAACTTAAGCATTAATTTTTGAAACAGATGGAACCTCATAGTATTAAAGTAATATCAAAACAATATTAATGTATTTAGTGTTATTAGATCTAGCTATAACAACAATGACAAACTGAACAGTTGCTCAGTTGTAGCTATTACTGTGCATATCACAGTAAAAAAGTTCTAAAAAATGTGAGAATATCTAACATGTTAAGCTTAAGTATGCTACTTAAATTAGAAAATAATTCTTACTTAAATCACAAAAGTTAATTTCAGCATTTCTGCGTACATACAAAGTAATTTCGTAGGCCTATCATCAACATCCTATACTGTATGAAGTCTATATAATTGTTTGAAAGATAAAAAAACATCCACTCAGTTAAATGCAAACATGAACAGTCACTTATCATTCTATTAAGTGAATGAGTTTATTGTTTCATTTTTCTCTCTGAAATTGCTCACAGTTATGATACAAGGGGATTTTTTTTACAACTTTAATGCATGTTCCTGCTCTGCATGGACATTTTTTTTTCTTCATTGAAGTTTTGCTTTATAACTGTATAAAATAGGAACGTTAACAACAGGTATTGCTTTATTATTGTTTCATTTAAACAAGCTGTCTGTAAACGGGGCCGTGAACATCCAAAACGTTCTCGTTCGAGGTACATGGTACAGATAAAAGGAAGCATTTTATAAACTGATAGCCTACCATGTAGACACTGCAAGTTAGTGAAAGCTGCGTCACGTTGCTTGCTTACAACGTAGATAGAAGAAAACATGACAGGAAAATAGGAAGAGATCGAAAAAAAGTTGCAGAGGGAAAACATGTGAAGGCAGGTGTTTTTCTTTTTTCCCATTAAACAATGTAAGGAAAGCTGTTCTGAGAAAATAGTGTGATTTCTGAGAATTGTTACGTCAAAGCCATGCAAAGAAAATGCGTGCATGCACACAGCAATACAAGTCAAAAGCAAAGAGCAGGAATGGCCTTCGAGTTTCCCGAAGGCCACCACATCATATTTACAGTAGAACTGATCCAAGAACAGCTTTTGTGTCATCCATTGCACACACACAATGATATGAAGCTGACATTGATATCAAGAAGTTCAGTTCCTCCCCACAGAGGCTAAACTACATTCTTAAATTACTGTTAAATTTGCTTTTTTGTGGTTTGTATGTTTTTACATACTATTTTGTTCTCTTTTGAAGCTAGGAAAGAAAGATTCGTAAAGTCCACGGTACTTTTACAAATCAAGACATAAGAAAGGTTCTTTAAACGAACAAAATTGTGTTGCCCTGATACAAACAAACACATTATTGTCATAAATAACATTCAAGTTCTCATATATATATAATTAGATGATAATAAATAAGGACAGAGATAAAACAGAAGGAGAAATACAAAAATATCCACAATGTATTCAACATTTTTTGTATCTGCTGGTAGCAAACATGAGAATGATCAGGAAAAAAGTAAATAAATGAAACAGACAAATCACTGTATATCAGTGTTTACCGAAATCGATTAAATGAAACAAATTGTTCCATCACATAATAAATACAGAAATAAAAGGGTTAAATAATAATTAAATAAAGACTGGCAATACAATATTTCAAATCTGAATCTACAACAGACCTAAAGCTAGTGTCACATCTAGACATTTTATTTGTACATAATTATGTTCAATTTGTACAACAGAGATTCATTCAGTAGGATAAATTCATTCAGTACTATTCCCCACACCCCAACCCATCCCAAACTCACTGAAATCCATGTTTCAGTCCTTTTGCAGCAATGATTTCATATCAAGTGATGTTCTTCAAACATAAAGTCATAAATAAATAAAAAAGAGAGCAAATGGAAACGATACAATTTGAAGAAGTCCACATCCTCCAGGACAAGCTCTCAAAGTCATCTTTTCCTTCTTGATTTGTGTTTCGTTTTTTTATTCTATGGTCTTTATTAATCTGAGTCAAACATCCAAGAGTTGAGTGTGTGCTTATGTCTAGTATTTTATATGTGAATCTGTTCCAAACCTAGTGAGCTGCCTTCTAAAGCACAATAAACAATTTTACAAATATTTTGTTTACTGAAAATTTGTCTTAGATGACAAAATCAAGGCTAAAATTTTGCATACCAGGTTTAAAGGCACAATATGTAATTTTCGTCACTAGAGGGCACGTATTCAAGGAGGCAAAGGCGTAATTTGATGACGCCGTTACTGAGTGTGGAATCATGGGAGTTGTGGTCTTCTTCCCCACAGCTGATGCAATCCGACGGGACTCGGGCAGAAATCATGTTCATGGATGAGCTAATGATTTATTAACGTAGTAGTATGAAGCAGGGCGAGGCTGAAAGGCCTTTAAGGCAGTTTCTTAACTCATTTGTAACCCCCAAAATGCGCTTTATTAAGGAAGATTATTTTCAGCAGAAAAAAAAGTTAGGCCTGATTGCGACTTTTTATATAACAATTCTGACAATTCAGAAATGTGAGACAAACTCAGAACTGCAAGATATATACTCGCAATAATGAGAAAAAAAAATCGTATTGCTAGTTTATAACTTGCATTTGTGAATTATTTGAAGTTAGAATTGTGAGATAAAAAACTCGCAATTGCAAGAAAAAAGTCAGAATTGTGTTTTGTTTTTCTGCCATGGAATTGTGAGTTTTTATCTCAATTCAGTCACAAGTCACAATTACCTTTTTAAGTTTTTATTCCATGGCAAAAATAAGCTTCCATAATTCAGAAACAGCAGCTCAATTCTCAATAGATTCAGTAAAGTTTGCCATTAGCATGTTGCTAAATTAACAACTTCCCTCTTCATAGGAAGCAACTCCATGTGACATACAAATGGCATTCCTTACACTGTGCACACTGGATACTTGATTCTTAATTGATTTCAGCAGAGTTTGCCATTAGCATGTTGCTAAGCTAATAGCTCCAAATTTTAATGTGCATAAAAACACATAAAATACAAATACTGAGTCCTCAGTTTTATTAGATTGATTTAAGTGCTCTCTCTGTCATCTTTAATGGATTTTTATGAAGTTTGTTGCATTGCATTAAGGGTCTCTTAATCAAAGTGAGATACCTTGAGGAAGCTCACTACATTTTGGAACAGAGCCAGTTTTTTTTTGCAGTCGGTTCCCACCGGCTGGTCAACCAATTTAACTGGTTGGTGTGCTGAGATGATGGCAGGGGAGCACACAGGTTGAGTGGGAACAAGTGTGGGTGTTTGTATTTTAGTCCTCGGAGAGAGCGGAGAGCGGGAAGGAAAGAGTATGATGAAGGATGAAGTGTCCATCTCCTTGGAAACCTGCTTGTTCATCATGAAAAGTGCCGTCTGTCAATAACTGTCCATCTCAGGATGTGCAGGGAATTGGGGGGGCGGAGTTTTAATACGTTTTCTGGATAATTCCTAGCAGCAAAGACAAGCCGTCACAAAGGTGAGGAAAACGGGAAGACAGACGTAAAGACAAGAAAATATCTGGGGTAGAAACGACAGGGGTTCGGGAGGGGGACTGTCACAAGGACATGGCAGAGACAGTGAAAGAGGAAATGTGTCTGGATTTGTGTCAGAATTTGTTTTTAAACAGTCATTCCATCATACAAAAGTTTGTCCAAATAAAAATTCCATCACCTCTAAGATTATGTACATTTTGAGTTCTTTTGTAGGTACGTTTGAAAAGCTTGACTGGTAAAGTTTTAGGGCTGCTCCTGTGTCCCAACGTTTGCTACCAGCTTGGCATTGTCCCTGGGATTGCCCGCTGGGCATTTAGAGTCACTAGGCTGAGGGTCGTGGCGACAGGCGTTAGGTGGGTGTCTGTTGGGCGTGCCAGGTGGAAGAGGCACCTGACCGTTCTTCTCGTCTGAAAAAAGTTGTTTAATTACGTCAAAGAAGTTACTCAATGGGCTGCCTAGGTACACAGATAGGAAGAAAAGGAAAAAAAGAGAGACAAAGAGAGAACAAATAGAGAAATGAACAATGGGCTCACACGAGGAGAAGTGGACAGAAGGGGGAAAGAGATAGGAGAGGGAAGAGAAAGAGGAGGAAAATGTGAAGACTAAGACCTGGAGAAGCTTTGACGGCCACACAAACTTTTATTGTTGGAAATTCTGTATAAGATATGAGGATTCACTGGTTAAACTTGATAAAACCAGCTTAAAATGGTAGCTAGCTGGTTTCTAGCTGGCCATTAGCTTGTCCAAGCTGGCTTGCAACTGGAAATAAAAACCATAATCATGGTGTAGCTAGTGCTATGCTCTACGAGTTGAGCAACAGGAACATAGCCACAGCAACATAATTAGCTGCAGTTTAGACGGTTGATGAGCTGGACTACAAGATTGGCTGAGCTAGTAGACCATATTGGACCAGATAAATCACCTTGACTGCCAAAAATATGCTTGATCTGTTTTTTCCAGCCCAAGTTCAACTAGGTTCCCACTAGCTGCTCAGCCAAATTAACACTCTTGGACCAGCAATAAACCAGCTTGCATGTTCTAAAACCAACTTGACCATCTTAAGATGGTATGACCTGGTTTTTACAGCAATGTCCTTTGATCAAGGTAGTGTACCAGCTCAGTGGGGTTCCTAACTGCTGGTAGTTCAGCTGGTCAACCTCTTAAACCAGCTTGGGACTAGCTATAATCCAGCTACTGTGTTCCATAACAGAGCTACCACTTTAAAATCAACATGAAACAGCATTTATAACCCATTTTACTTCTGACAAGACGTATATCTGAGCAAAACAGAATATTCCCTCCAAAAAAACTAAGGTGGGACTTGTATGTTTTCCTGCAACCAAGTAGGTCTACCAGCTCAGACAGGTCTCCAACGGCAAGTAGTTCAGCTGGTCAACCATCTAAACCAGCTTGGACCAGCTAGAAACCAGCTGCTGTGTTCCATAACAGAGCTACCACCTTAAAGTCAACGTGAAACAGCGTTTGCAACCCCTTTTACTTCAGCCAGGAAGAAAAAAGAATCCAAGTGAAAAAAGAATAATCCTCCAAGAATTAAGGTGGGACTTGATTTTTTCTCCGTAAGCAATTGTTTGCTGAGGTTCAAGACGGAATCAAATGTGAGTTTGTAGTTGATTGTTGTATACCACTACTTTTTGAGGAGGCTATTTGACCTGGAGGTGGAGGTTAAAGGTCATCCCCAAGAGCATTTTTGACACTTCTTTTCAAATCTATTGTTATTTACTATTTGAAGTACCTACTTTAAAAGGCATTAAATTGCTTGTTAACCGGTGAGATTGGTATAACAACAGTACCTAAAACAAATAAATACCTTTAGCTAACATTATTTCTGGCCAGGGGGCGCCAGTCAGGCAGGTTAGTTGCAAGTTAGTTTTCAGTTATTTGCTAAAAGACAAACAGCTTTTTATTAGGTTGTACTTGTAAATCATTTGAAATAAAACCAGGAACATTTATTACTAAAGTAAAGAGAGTGGATTTTGATTTCATGTTGATTTTAAAGATGGTTTTAGCCAGTTGCGTAGCTGCTGGGCCCACCCACCTGTCAGTCAGGCCCACCTAGTCAGTTGCTTCACAAGGTAGCCTAATCCTGTTTTGTACTTTCTACGCGAGAGAGCGCCCTCCGGCTTCGAGTATGAATGAAACGTCCCCCGCGTATTCTACGCTCAAGCAGCTGAACAGCTCTGCTAGTGCTAACGTTAATTCACATATTTCTCCATCACCAGCAGCGCTCCATTCTCCAGCGTCTACCTCCCCTACACGCCAGTGTACAGGTACATGAATCTACATTTTCCTACTATGTAGTTGCCTAGGCACTGTTGTTTATTTCGTTTATGTGGCCGCTGGGCCAGACTATGACCAAGCATGGTTACATACTGTCCACTACTGTACTACTAGCTACTGTCCTGCTGATTTGATGCTGTTCGTCTGTCAGATGCGCGCGTGTGGTGTGGCCGCCGTGCTAATGCTGTTCTTATCATTATGTTCTTAACACTGCTTATAATGACATACAGGCTTATGCTCTGATTAAATGGTGATTTCTATTCAAGCAGGTGTAACTGTTAGTTGTGTTGGCCTATTTTGATAACAGATGCATTTTAGGCTAGGCCCACCCAATTTTCTCTGGGCCCACCCACATTGTAATTCCTGGCTATGCTAGTGGTTTTAGCCCTGGTAGGTGTGAAGCACATGGGCTCATATGGCTTTATATAGCCAATAATGAGAAAGGCTAGATAATTAGAAAAGGCTCTAAAGTAATGAGAGAAGTGATGTGGCATCTGTACATCTGTCACTGCAGAGAGAATTACACGTAGATCAGTCAGGAAACACACATATGGGTACAATGTACCCTTTAATCTTCATTCTGCTCACTCCTCAAAGTCACATAAGCCTATGAAGTGTCATCTGTCCGGTTCAATTACACACCATATTACACAGGCGGAATATACATCAACAAGATATCATCAAGCTCTCTATATTCGGCCTTGTTTTTGTAATTATGTTCATGAAAAATAATTTTGGATGAAAGACTACAATGTCTACAAACATTGTTCACAAATGTTTTAATCAAAGTCTATACAGGCTTAGTCGATCAAAATGTTATTAGTCGCAGGAAAAAAAAATCTTCAAATGTGGCTTATGAAACATGTAAGTAGTAGCATCATTACATGGCCGCTCGCTTTAACACTAACCTCGAAAAATGCGCGCTATTGAAGTGTTTGTGTGGAGTGTGGAAGCTGAACAGCTGAACAGCTCACTGCATGACAGTTAACTTGGAGGCACCGGTGCGATCATTTGCATTTAACTTAAAATACTCAGTTTTGCTCATACAGATAAGAGTAATTCATCTTTTGAATCTGTAAAAGGTCTACTTGCATTTGTGTGCACTCACAATAACAACAAATCATTGTGCTTTTGTAAAATAATGAAAGCAAATAGGGTGCGCTTTATGCTATCTAGGTCTCTGTGAACTTGAGCGTTAAAAAAAAAAAGGAACCTAAGCTCCTGCTTGCCTCACAGACATGAAAATATATAAACAGAAAGCAAAATGTCTACTTTTAATTGAACCAGATCAAATGGAAAACAAATATTTTCAGATTATGTAATCCATATAATGTGCACGTCCACTGTGGAGATGATGAGTCAGTGAAAAGACTAGTTTATCAATGAATTATTATAATGTTAAGGCAGTCTTCTTGCTGTTTTTTCCCTGAAGCATTCATAATCATTACTTCTGCTACTGTGGCAAGCTTTATGCGTGCACTTGAGCACTGATAGGCTATAGGCAATTAAAGGTTCATTATTATTAATGATATGGTATATTAATATGAACGTGCGATTAGTCGACTAATCGCTTCAAACAAACGACTATTAGTCGATCAGAAAAATATTTAGTCGAGGGCAGCCTTTTTTTATCCTGTGGCAAAAAAAACTTTCATAATATATCAGAAGCTTAAGTTATTAGCATTTACACATTATCCTTCACGCAATTACATTATAAAAATCATGCAACATTTAATTAAACAATTTCAGATATCTGAATAACTTTCAAATACTCAGTGGCATAAACCTCAAACTTTGGCAAATTGGCAAATTTTGGCAAAATTTAGGGGCACATCAGAGCCTCTGGTGTACATATGCACAGCCTCATATGTTTGGCTTACATAGTCAAGAAATTAAGACCAGATTTGTAAGCCACATACACACTAAGAAGGTAACAACCAGTTTATGTTGTGCTCATTTTAACAGTAAGCGCACAAAACCTAAACAAAACAAAAAAAACTGCCACACACTTACTGATTCAGTTACGTTACACGTGAAAGGGTATTTATGGGGTTGGGTGCACTTTAAATAGGATGTAAGGACATGCGTCATTACAAGTGCTGTGATTATCACAGGTTTATATAAAGAAGGTGGATGTGTGCGTGATAAAGTAGTTAGTGACCCCAAAAACTTTTTGGACACTTAAAGAGATAGTTCACCCAAACAGGAAAATTCTGTCCTCATGTCTGCAGAAGAATGAAAGCCATACAGGTTTGGAAAAACATGAATGTGAGTATACGATGATAGAATCTTTATTTTTGTGTGAACTATCACTTTAAGTCACACTTACAACCTAGGCTCATTGGAAATACGTGCCTCTATATACATTTCTGCAAAACTGAAAAAAACGTACCTATTTGTATGAATCAACTTTTATTCCTTTTCACACAAAGTATGATTTACAGGTACAGAGTTTCGATTAATTTTCACACAATTACTTGCAGAATAGTATGTTATGACTTTAAAACAATTTTAACATCCTGCGCAATTTGAAAACTGATACTTCTGAATGTTTTCGTCACATATACAGCTTCGTATGCATGAGTTTTCTAATACAGTAGCTTTGCTCGGTAGCTCACGCGATACGGCATTGCACTTGAGTGATGAAGAGTTCGTTATGAACCCCGTTAAAATACTGTTTGATAAAACAAATCCGCATAAGGAAGTTAAAATAGCACGGCTGCATCAGCAAATGCTTTTTATATCACTTTTGTATTTGTTAACACTATCGGCTAGGTTTAGGGTTGGGTTGGGATTGGTATGGGGGATATATCCAACATGACAGAGCATTAACCTTTAGCGACACTCCCCGGATATTTGAATTCTGAACAGCCGCAATACGTACCTCAAATAGCATAATAAAAACGCAGCAATACGTGCCTGTACCAACCTAATAAAAACGTGCCACGGTCACTTATTGAATGTGTGTTTTAGCGCCACTCTCTGGACATTTCACTTTGAAACTGCCGCGAAACGCACACTTAAGTATATAATTACAGTGTTGCAGAAATGTATAAAGAGGCCCGTATTTTCTTGAGCCTGGGTTGCACACTTAAAATGAATGTCATTTTATTAGACCAGTGGTTCTTAAACAGGGGGCCTCAGCAAACTGTTAAGCGAGACACAGGATTAAAACTCAAAAGGATTTTAAATTAATATTAATACATTTTATATATTTTCCAACTTATTGAAAAACATACAGTTCTTGACATTTCTGGAATCCCAAATTCCAGATTAATTATATAAATACTCACAGTTTCTGTTAAAGGAATAGTTCTCCCAGAAATTAATGGGTCAGTGGGTGTCGACAAAACACCAAACAGCTGATAAAAACATCAATAATCCACAAGAGTCCATCTCCAGTCCATCAATTAACGTCTTGCGAAGCGAAAAGCTGCATGTTTAACTCTACACCGTCGCTTCTGGCCAAAATATGATTCCATAATCTATAATAAAACTTCTTCCAATGGATAAAGTCCAACCTATTGCCCTCTCACATCAAAATCCACTCACATTTTTTAGAACTGTTTTCACTTGTAAACGATGGTTGATCAGTGCATATTTCTTTCCTGATTCAGACGTGACGACTTTTTTACTGGAGGAAGTGTTATGGATTATGGACTCAGGATTTAACAGGAAGCAATACAGTTTGAAATGGGAAAAAAAAGACTTGATGAATTTGTTTGTAACATACATGCAGCTTTTCTCTTCACAAGACGTTAACTGATGGACTGGACTGGTGTGGATTACTTCTGGATTATTGTGATGTTTTTATCAGCTGTTTGGACTCTCATTCTGACGGCACCCATTCACTGCAGAGCATCCATTGCTGAGCGAGTAATGCAATGCTACATTTCTCCAAATCTGATGAGGACACAAACTCATCTACATCTTGAATGGCCTGAGGGTGAGTGCATTTTCAGCAAATTTTAATTTTGTTAGCTAATGCAATGACATTCAGACATTTTTAAGTGTGACTCAAGTGTCTAAATACTCTCTGGGCCACTGTAATTGTGCTGCAAGTTGGTGTATTTAACACAGAAGCCATAAGAGTCTTACCACACTTTGACTTTGAGACTTTAGTGGGTTTTGCAGCACACTGAGAGATCTCTGTGAGAGAGAAACAAGCGTGTTGACACCAGACAACACTATCAGCGCAGCCTGAAAAAAAAAAAAGTTTGAAATTCCCTAAATCTTTTTTTGGTTTATAAATTGGATCAGCGCATTAGCTCATTAGATTCGCTGTGTATGCTCTTCATCATGCCCATGTGAAGCAAATGAGCAATTTCCAATTAACAAGCATGGGGCCAGATGTCTTCATCTAGACTGCATTAGGGGCAAGAAGACTTCGGTTGGGTGGTTGTTAGACAAGTTTGTGTGGATAATTATGCTTGTTTGGAATAAAAATAGTTTTTATGAATCTAAAGAACATTGGGAGGTTAGTTATTTGCATACACACAGAAAACCACAACCTCCTACACAAAATAACATCATTAAATCCATAATTGAAGTGTCTATTTTTGGAGTGGTGAGTGTAATCTGACTGCAGTGTGTATGTGTCATTCATCTGCAGTGCAGTAGTGCGTTCAAACCACAGTGAGTCATACAGCACTGAATCAGACACGGAGCGCATGAATGTGACGTGTTTAAGAGAAAGCAAAGGAGAGAGAAAGAAAGACAGTGGGGTGGGAACAGAGAAGGACGACAGGAGGAGAAAAAGCAAGGATCTACTTTCTTGAGATGGTCTTGGATGTCTTTGTTGCCCAACACTCCCTACAACCTCCCCATTATTAAATACGACTTCATTATTAAATGCTATTTCATGAACTGTACTAGAAGTTACTAATTACTAATATGTGTACATATATAGCGGGTTTCAAAATACCACTGGAAAAAATGACTATATTTTGCTTTAAAAAAAACAAAAAACATTTGAATTAAATAAATAAATTACATTATTATCAGCAAAACAATTTCAGTGAAAAGTTTAATTTATTGGAATAATATAATACAAAATTAAGCATTAAAACATTAAAATAAAATTATAAATACTATCAATAGCCATTACTCCAGTCTTCAGCAATCATTCTAATATGCTGATTTACTGCTCAAGAAACATAAAGCAAGGCTAAGTATAATGAATTATTATAAATATCTTTTATTGTAAATTTGATCTTTTTTTAATTAAATTGACCAAAAAAGTGACTGTAAAAACATTTCTAATGTTACAAAGGTTTTGTTTCAAATAAATTGAACTTTTCATTCATCAAAAATCATGAAAAATATGTTTCCCCAGAAATATTAAAAAATATTAAGCAGCAAAAACTTTTCAACACTGATAATAATAATAATAATAATAATAATAATAATTGAGCAACAAATCAGCATATTAGAATGATTTCTGAAGAATCATGTGACATTAAAGGCTGGATTAATGTTTTGCCATCACAGGAATAAATGACATTTTAATTACATTTAAAATTACATTTTTTCTATCATATTCAAAACAGTTCTTTCAAATTCTAATAATATTTCACAATATTACTGTATTTCGGTCAAATAAATGGAGCCTTTCATTTATATAATTATTCTAAATTATAACTATTTTAGCCATATACAGACCCATCATATTTTGTCAGAGTGTTGAACAAATACCAGGAAGAGAGCATCAAAGTTGTTAATTATAACTAAATATCCCTGGAGATCCATTACCAGTAGTTACTGAAACAATCATATTGGGGTGTGCATTTGGAAAAAAATAAAAATAAATCTGTAGGGTTATATGCATTGGTTTTTTGTATTAGATGCTGTTGTTTGCCTTAACAGACCACTAGGTGGAGCTGTTATCAGGGAGATGGTTGGGACACAGCCAAATAGCATCATGTGTCAAGAAGAGAGGACATGGACGGAGAATAGGATGGAAAAGTGTCTTTTCTTTGCGATTCTCCTTTGAGAAAAAAAAAAACAAAACATACTCAGCCGTTCATCCTTGATGCTCTGGATAGTTCAAGGTAATAGAGGGTATATACGGAGGAAACTTTTCCAGAACTTGATATTTATAATAATGTTCCTGATTTGTGTGCTCTGGTTGGTTTAGCACAATAGCTGATGCAGACAGAGCAAGACGTCGGTTTTAGGGTTATCCCGACCTAAAAAGGTAGCAGGAACCTTTACATAACCAGTCCAGATTGGTCATCCAACAAGGACACCATGTCCTAAAACTAGAAATCATGAAGCTGAAGTGTCCACATTTGGAGAACTGTCAGAAAATCTACCGGTAATGCAGTCTGAGAAATGGAAGCAGCAGTGTGGCCAAAGGGAATCACCACGAATTGAAAACTCCCCTTGTCTTCTAGCATCCCAGTGGGGATTGCTTTAGGGTGGGATCATATGGAGAATATTGTGATGCTGTGTTGTGGTGTGCTGACTGACATGCATGATGGAGGAGGGTTATAAACAGGCATGAGAGGGATCGTAGGGCTCGGGACGGAGTGGGGGAAGGGACGGGGGGATTTATACTCACCAGACAGCTGCTGGACTCCCGGCTGGTTGTGTGTGCTTAACAACTGCCCCTGAATCGTTTCTACCACCCGTTTGAAACGCCGGCTTGGACCTACAATACAATGTGAAAGGTCACATATAAAACCCCGTTGACATTTTGAAACAGGAAGTTGGGGCGGGGTTTCCTTAATACCGATTAATCGAGTACTCGTTCACTTGGTTTGCATTCTAGTGAAAAAAGCTCCACAGACAAAAAATTTGAGCTTTTTAAGAATCTGACAGGAATTTATTGTAAAACTACTTGTAACTTGCAGTCTTTCTTATCTCTGCTAGGTGGACAACAACATTATTTAACATCCTGCACGCTGTAGTGGATAAGAGCTGCTGCTGGCGCTATCATGAGGAGACATAATGGATATTAATGGCAGAAAATAAGGGAGAATAATGCATTAGATGATGCATTATTTTTAGGTGTTCTATTTATCTTATGTTGTTATTGTGACCTGCAGTATACTGATGGGATAATTAGTGTGTAAGAGGCTATTTGACTCATTTTGAGAATTAAATGGACATTTTTCTAAGAACTGTTCCTTAGAGGACAGAAAGAAAATTCCTGGCAAGACTAAATGTAAGACTGTCAGGAATGGGCTTTATGTTAAATATTTACAGTATATTTGTGATGACTTTGCGCACATATCTAAAATTTTGTTTGTCCATTCTCAAGTACTCAAGTAGTTTTTTGGACAAGTACTTTTACTCTACTCACACTATATTTTTTGGAAGGTAATGGTACTTTTACTTGAGTATATTTTTTCAGTACTCTTTCCACCACTGATTACTGAATGAGACGCAATGTCATTAGACTACAATGTAACAATTTTCTTTTGAAGTTGTAAATAAAACTAAGATAATTGGAGTATGTCTCCAAAAAAGTACTATTTCAGTCTTTTTAACTCAGAATTTAATTCAATGTGTTGCTTGCTGTTTCTCTGTGAAATTTACTGACAATTTCTGAATGAAAATTGTATTAAAATGAGTAATAAACTAAGATTTTAACCTTGTATATCAACTATGTTTAGGTTTATTGGTGAATATAAATTGAATTTTTTAAATTATATTTATTATTTATTTGATGGCGACAAAGCATTTCTGGTAAATATATATATATATATATATATATATATATATATATATATATGTAAAAATATATA